TTTTTTTTTTTTTTGGTCTTTTTGAGACAGGGTTTCCCTGTGGCTCCAGCTAGCCTGGAACACACTATGTAGACCAGGCTGGTCTCACAGAGGTCTGCCTGCCTCTGCCTCTGCCTGTGCTGGGATTAAAGGTGTGTGCCATCATACCCGGCAACATTAGCAACTTCTTACCTAAGTGCTAAGAAAATAAAGCTTAAAAAGATTCTCTCTACAGCATAAAATTGTACATGGCATGTTACTACTGCCTTTTTCAAGTATCCCCAAGAAGCTATAAAATAGAGGAACTTAGAAGGACCAACAACGAGGTTTCTGATTTCAAAGCTGAAACATTAAGCATCTTAAGTTAGACATAGAACTCACCAGTCCAACTCTGGAAGTTTGGCTGAGAGCAGCTTTAGAGAGCTCCACTTCTCTCCAGCAGGATGGCTCAGGGCACTGAAGAACTCTTGTGCCCTGGAATGCCTAGAATATCAAAAGCTCACAGATAAAACTTTTATCTCCCCCCAGCACCACATTTCACATACCCAGTTCTGAAGCTTCCAAGCCAGAGTTCCCTAACACAACAGTCAATATTTCCAAAATAAGGAGCTTAAAGACTTAAACAAAATGTGTGATCAGTGAATGACAACTGGCATGCCCATATAGAAAGGCTGGCCTGAAAGTTTTTGAGCATTGTCAGGTTTTGATACCTGTCCCCTACCACCAAGGATCTCATGTCACCCAGGCTAGTTTCAAACTTGACATGTAGCTAAAGATGACCTTGGACTTCTGATCCTCCTGTCTCCACCTCCCAAGTACTGGAATTATAAGAATGTGCCATCATAGTTTATGTGATGCTGGGGATCAAATTCAAGGTCTTAGCATGTTACGAAAGCACTCTACCAACTGAGCCACATCCCCCAGCTCTGCTTTAATCTTGTCTTGCTGTCTGTTTCCCCAAGCTTCCTGGCTACCTGCAGGTTGGCAGCAATGTGATGAATACCGGCCCTTTCAGAAGCCAAGACCCCTCGGTTACATAATGTAAGTCATCCTGCAGAGAAAGCACACCACACAGTTTAGGGTATCAAGCACACACACTGAAGGCAGCCACTTACAATCGCTTTTGTTCCACAGATAATCCGTCTTCCTGGATCACTTTTAAAGAGAGCCCTGGGTTATCCTGCTGTTGCCAGGGGGAGAAGACCTAAACAAAACAGAATTTCAACAAAGAACACTTTAAACTCAACAACAGGATATAGACTCCACATGGGATTTGATGACTGTTGAAAATCTTACACTGTCGGTACAAAGAAAAAACATTATCACAAATAAGTTTGCTTTAAAAACCAGGCTGAAGCTGGGCATGGTGGCGCATGCCTTTAATCCCAGCACTTGGGAGGCAGAGGCAGGTGGATCTTTGTGAGTTCGAGGCCAGCCTGGTCTACATAGTGAGTTCCAGGACAGCTGGGGCTACAAGGAGACCCTGTCTCAAAAAGACAAAAAAAAAAACAAAAACAAAAAAACAGGTTGGAAGCGATTTTGTTCTGTGCTTCTCAGAGCCAGAAATGCCTCTTTCTGAATTCGTCTCCCCAGAATCTTCCACTAGTCAGGAAGCCTGGAAGAAACTGTCAGGTATGTTCTGCTTTAAGTGTATGTTCCTCCCAGGTGACAGGGCCAGAAGGGAGTGGTTTAAGAAACTCCTGCTTAGAGGCACTAAGATGACTGAGGGACTCAATCTTAAAGGATGACTCTAGGTTCAGTAGAAGCCAGGCGTGGTGGCGCACCCCTTTAATTCCAGCATTGGGAGGCAGAGGCGGGAGGATCTCTGTGTTCGAGGCCAGCCTGTTGTACATAGTGAGTTCTAGGCCAGCTGGGGCTACAGGGAGACCCTATCTCAAAAAGACCAAAAGAAAAAAAAAAAAAGAAAGAAAGGACAAGCAGAAGCAGGTAGGAAGGCCCAGAAGGCATAAGGGAGGGACACAGACTGTGCTAAGAAGCCACTTGAGCCAAGGTTGGCTCTTTTTCCTTTAAATTCTGTGACTCTGCCCTGAGGAAGGGATACTGTCCCCTCACAAGCTGATGCAATCACATTCTTCCAAGGATTTTCACATTCTGATGATGCTAATCATCAGAAGACTTTGGCTACTGTATGGTCTCTAAGTATGTCATATAATTCTTTTGGGTTTTTAGAATCAGTCTCAGAGGCCCAAGCTGGCCTCACATTCACCATGTAGCTGAGGCTAACCTTGAACTCCTGATCCTCCTGCTTCTACCTCTAAAGTGCTGGAATTATAGGCATGCACTACTATGCCTGACTGGGTCACATAATTCTTGCTAAATTCCTTTTCTTATGCAATATGGGCTGAGTATGTATAATGGACAGCCTACCACATGGGGTCAACTGCAAAGGCAGGGACTATAACCTATAGGGAAGGAGAACATGGGGTGAGATAGAGAGCTCTAGCCCAGTAAGTAGGGCTCATTATTCAATAAAATAACTAAAAAGGAAATAAATCTAATTAGGACTTAAAAGGAGACAAAGTAGATCTCTCTCAAAGGTCTTTTGCTCATTTCTGTGGGCTTTTACTCCTCACTGGCAATAGCACCATTTAAAAGGACTATCCAAGTACTTACCTGCCTACCCTCACCAGTACTCTCAACACTTTTTTTTTTTTTTTTTTGGACACAGGGTCTCATACAGCCTAGGCTGGCCTTAGACTCAACATATAGCTGAGGCTGGCCTTAAACTCCTGATCCTCCTGTCTCCATGTTTCAGGTACTGGGATTACAGGCTTCAGTTACCACACTCAGTTTCAATTCTCATTTTAATTACTCACCATTAGCTCTAAGACACTTACAATTTAAATTGCTAAGATTGAAAAAGGTAGTTATTTTGCTAAATGATGACTGTTATTACCTCTGAGTAAAATGCTTGATATATCTTTGATTTGGGGAAAAGGACAATCATCAGAAAATTGCTTGATCCATGGAACTGAACTGGAAGATGAGGAAGTAATGAGCTTCTGAAGTCTATGAGAAGGGCAGCCACTATACTGGTGGAATTCTAAAAAGAAAAAGAGGAGCATTAGCAAGAAGAGTCATGCTCATGAGTCTAGTCACACAACTAGTGTCAACAAACACAGGGTTAACTCATTCTAATTATTTCCACAGGTAATAGTTTACTAGATTCAGTAACAGTTGTGCTTTTCAATTCCCAGCTATGGGAAACTTTGGCAGTCTCTTTTTTGGTTGGGGCAAGGTTTCACTAAAGGCCCAAGCTAGGCTTAAACTCACAATCCTCCTGCCTTGATTTCCCAAGTAGCTGGGAATAATAAATACTTAGGTGTCTATTTTCCTAAACTAAAGTTTCATCTCCAAATTCTTTCTAAGGTATTGGCTGTTTT